CTCGGCCGGGCCCTCCGCAGTGGGCAGGGAAGGGGCCTCTCCCGCTGGGCCGGGGGTCTGTGCGGGCCCTCCGTGTTGTCCCACCCGCTTTGGGGCTGCTCAGGCGGGCGGTGGCAGAAGCCGCTCTGTGGAGAAGACCCAAAACCCGGTTCCAACGGGCGCCCCCCTGGCACGGCGCTGCTTGATCTCGGCCGCCCGGTGAGGGGGCTGTGAGCGCCGGGGGGAGCCGGAGGGTAGCCGCGGTGTGGCCGGGGAGAGGTCGGAGCCATCATGCTGGGAAACGGTTGCTTTACCTGCAGGGATTTTTTTTATTTTCCCCCTTTTTTTTTTTTTGAAGCCTTTGCTACTTCATGTCACCATCACTGCTGCACAAGATACTGATTTTTTTTCCTCAAAGCTCTTTAAATGTAATAAATATAACTCCATCTCCGTAATCTTTGGATTTGCACTCCTTTGATCTAAGAAATTTCCTTTTTCCTCCAGTCTTCTTCCCAGATTGTTGGTTTTAGGAAGATCTGAAGGGAGGAAAAAGTGCACCCAAAATCAAACTAGAAACAAGGGGTAAGAGGCCTTTTATTTAAGACTAAACCTTTGCTTTAGTTAACTTTAGGATTTCTACTAACTGCATAGTGGTGTATGTGAGTCCTGGTTATTATCTCTGCTTGCTGCTCCTCTGCCCCGTGCACAAAAGTAGCCTCAATGTGTTGTGTATCTTACGCAGTTGATAAGCGGATCGAATCGGAGGAGTCGGGCGACGAGGAAGGGAAGAAACAAGCGGCTTCATTAGTAACAGACCTCAGTCAGCAGAGCCTGCGCGAAGAGCAGAATGGCGAGAACTCCACAGGTACCCAGCGGAGCTAATCGAGCCCCCAGCCAGGCGGGGGGTCCTTCTCACAGCAGTATCTCTGCATCCATGCTTGTATTTCTCAGGCTTATGTGGGATATCTGTGTTATTAACCGTGCAAATATTTCCTATTCCCTTCTTTTCAGAGAATACCAACAGTATCAGCTCTGGTTAGTGTCGTTATTTACTTTTTAGTATTGCCACATTCCTTTGGAAAGCAAAGGAGACTATTTCTAGATACAGTGAAGGAAGTTTTCAGTTTTTTTTTTTTTTTTTTTTTTTACACATTTAGAAATCTCAAGATGTATTAAAATGCGTCTTTATATTTGAATCCTCTTAGTTTTGAATTCTCATTGCTATTTTTACTGTTTTATTACTGTAGTGTGGTAGAAGTTTGGAGGTTTTTTAAGCTTGTGTATGTCTGGTAGAAAGATTTAGTTTTTGGTAACTTGCATGGACTTTATCAAAGCAAATCCCTCTCTGAAGACAACATTTGGCAACATTATCTAAATTTCTGGTGCTGGTTGCTGAGTGTTTGACAAAGAATTGTTAAATCTGTGATAGATCTTAGGTCTGCCTAATAATTTGAGATAGAGTAGCATCCTTCTGATGCATGTCTTTAAGTGACTTGCTCTGAAAATGCAAGTGAAATAATACAGCATTTTTCTGCTGCATTTTAATCCTTTTGGCTGTTCCCATTTTACAGATCCCTCTTAGCTATATCCCTTAGAATTTGGAAAAGCATTTTCCAAACTAGTAAACTAATGTGAGAATTTGAACTCTCATTTCCTAGTTAAATGATCCATGGTGGATTATATTGGAAACTACTTAATTTAATACCAGTATTGTCATTTCTCCTTCCAAGCTGGTAGGATTCAGCAGAGACCAAGGAGGAGAAATAGTATTGGAACGTTTGAGTTAGTTTTGGTAGTTAGCTTTTGAGTTGCCAGGTTGAAGGAAAACGAAGAGTTTTCCACACTTCCTATGGAAGGACATAAATAGACAGATCTCAAGCAGCAGCAATTTCAAATCTTTCACTCTGCTAATTCTCTGAGAAATAGCAGCTCTGTTCAGGAAGCTTCTAACTTAGCTCTGCGTAGTATTTTTCCCTGCATGTTCAGTTAAAAAGAGCAGTTAGGCCTTTGGTTGCGCTAATGCTTGTGGTTCTGAGGGATTACATAACTCTAACTCCTGTTCTGTATTGCGGAACTCAGGTTTCCCAGATGTAGCCTTTTCCCTGCCTCTGCAGAGGAGATGGGTAGTTTACAGGCATCGGTTGTGTTAAAAACTCAGTTAAGTAGCTTCGCTGCTGGAGCAATGGTTATTTTCCCCTTTGAGAATCCCTGTTACATTAAAAATTGTTGACATGAAAATGCATTTGCCTACTTGAATGCAGGCAAGTAAAACTGCGCTTTTGTTTGTGGAGCTGACTGTAGGAGGGTCAGTTTAGGGTTCTTTGTGTTTTATATTTATTTGGTTCATAAACAAAACAATTTTTGTCTGACAATTTGCTGTCAGTAAATTCCCTAAAAGCGTTTTTTGCTTATCTGCTCCTTAAGAGCAAAAATGTATGTTGATGGTTTTTGTCCCAATTTTGGAAGTGTATGAAATCCCACTGGTCAGACTGCTTCGTGGAGAGGATATAAAAAACGGCTTAATTATCTCTGTGTTTAGGTTTAAATTGCTTTTATCACTGTGAATTCAATGTATGTACGTATTTGCTATGTGATTGTGACTGTTAGACTTTGGTTTTGCGCTTGTGGAGTTGTGCACTTCTCACCCACACTGAGTCTGCCAGGACTATTGCTAAGATACCAGCCTTGTTAAAGGCTGCTCTTCATAATTCAGATGTGTTTTACATGTCTTGCTTTTGCTATGGCAGATTTTTAGATTTGGAGGGATTTGTTGAGAATTTTCTGGAGGCAGTGAAGGCCTTCTATCCCATAACAGCCTGTCAAGAGACTGTCAGTTCCTTTGTAGTAAGAACTAGAGAGGGGGCTTGCAGGTAGGAGGTGGAAATGAAGGTCTAGCTGCTTGTTTTTATTTTTTTAATATATTTTATTAAAAAAAGAAATGACACTAGCAATTGGATTTTTTTATACTGCCGACTTTTGATCTTCTGCAAAAACCAAGCTGCTTTTAGTGGTCTGCTTAAGGTATTTAGGACAACTCAGCTTTGCAAAGAGCTCCTTTCTTGTGTTGTATCTGCACTGTTTACTTGTTTAAAGGCTGTATATGAAACGCAGCATAAGCAGCTGAGGGGTTCTTGTGACTGGAAGTTTTATTGCTTCTTGCAATGCCCTGGGTAACTTCATGTGAGTTATAGAGCAAGAGGTGTGTTTTGTGCCAGAAAATTCCCAATACACCCAAAAGCAGTGGCCATAAATTACTGTTACGAAAGATCTCTCCAGAAATGGGTAATGAGCTTTTTCATTCTGATTGAGTCTGGACTCCATCACCTTTTGTTTCACCAGACAATGGGTCTGGTTGCTCAAATGAAAAGGTGAAAATCCGAGAAAGGAGGGAGGATTTAATGTTTCAGAAGTTCTCGCACTCTGAGCTATTCAGCAACAGATCCTGGTGTAATGTATTTAATGTCCAAATGAATATAGTCCATAGCAGACTGAGAAATATGATTTTTGTAGAGAAGCTTGTCAATCAGGAAAAGTTGCAAGAATGAGATTTTTGACCAAGTTATCTCCTAAGTGCATTACTGGCTTAACTGCTAAACAACTTAAAAGTCTCAAAGGGAGAAATTATTTACAATAAAACTCTATGATTTACTTCTAGTGCAACTTAATACAAGGGGAATGTCTTGTTTTGTTTTGAATATGTCAGCTCTTGTTCTGAACTGAGATTG